ATCTGTATTAGTTTTAATGTTATCAAAGTGTACAATGTCTTTATGTCGATTGAGTATGCTATTAATCATTTTTGTTGAATTGGTAAGTAGTTGGTCACATCTGTTATTAGTGGCTAAATTGATGTGTTGTCTTAGATGTTGTGCATTTTCAAGGTTTCTTGCATTGTATAAAGTTTTCCAGTATTCTTTAGTGTTTTGTACCCATAGACCAAGGTCGGCCTGCACGAAAAAATGTTATAAATTTAAGTTTAAGTAATAATATAGAAATTGTAATGGTCCAGATTGGAGTTGTAGAAGATTGTAACTAATCAATTGAAGTCAATACAGGAAATAATATCGCACCTATATATTAAAACATATTTAAATATTACTATTAGTCATATACTTAGTTATATAAGTGTTTATAACTAAATAAAAATTAAAACTTAAATACCAAAATAATTCCAAATATCAGTAATCCAGAATATAGGAGAATATAAACATTGCCGAATTTCAAAAATAAGATGTAGAATTCCAAAAATAATAGTTGTAATTAACAATAGACTCTGAATATTATTAGATAATCCTTTTATTGTAGCAACTATCAGAAAACAGAACATAAAAATAAAATAGAAAACAAAAATAGCAAAAAAATAATATTTTTCATAGATATTCCACTTGAAATTAAGAAGACCTTCACCATGCCAATATTTGTAAAATTCAAAAAATTTGTGTTTAGTAAAAATGCTAGGATTAGGAAAAATTAATTCTCCTCAAAAACTATAATCACTATTATAAGAACTAAATTTTGGTAATGAAAAGATTAAAATTATAGTTTGAGAATCTTCATAAAATATTCCTTCTATTCTGTTTTCAATTTTTTCTAAATTATTAGAAAAGATCAGAAACTTTTTCTTAAATAATATGAATAATTGGGGGTAAGTTAATAGAAATTAAGCAAATTGTTTTTATTGAATTTTTTTAAAACTTTATATACCAATAACTTAACCAAAACTTAATCAAATTTAATAAATTTTTTTTTAAAATAATTTCTATAAGTTTGTAGAATTTATTTAAAAAAATTTTTATTAAATTTGATTAAATTTTTGTTAAGTTATTGTTGTTTAAATAATAAAAAAAATTTATTTATAAAAAATTTGCTTGATTTTTATTGACACAACCCCAATTGTTTAATATTTTGCTTAAAGCTACTATCAAAATAAGGTTGTAAATATTTTATATGATTCTGAAAATCAGTGTTTGATTTGGACATATAAAATTTTATTTGGACAAATTTGGACATATAAAATTTTATATGTCTATCTAAATAAAATTTTTATTGAACATAGTCCAAATGCAAACACTGCTGAAAATGTGGTTCTGGGAAGAATTTGTTAAATTTAATTTCCTCATAGCTATTAGCTGGATGAATAAATAATGTATATGATAAAAATTCTTTTATAAATTAAGAAAATTGGGTTAATTCTATAAATAAAAAGGTAAAAATCTCTAATAACTAAATTTTTAATAAAAAGTTATTATCCATTTCCTTGCATATTTTACTACATAATTTCCCTACTATTGAATAATCTTTAAGCTTTAAGTAGCACTTTAAAAGTTCTTGCCTATATAATTTCATTAATATTTTATCTTCTATATAATCACTTAATAATTCTTTAAAGAGGTATCTCTTATCTTCCATATATGAATTATTATTATTAATGATAAGAAAATTAAAATCTGGTGCTGGCAATGATTTTTTTTCATCTACCTTTATCTTGTCTAACAAAATTTTATAATCAGATTCAGATTCTTTGTATATGTAATATCACAATCTAATTTCATCTTTTTCACCTTTCTGCCAAATTGATCATATAATAAGCCAAGATTTGTAATCATCACCAAATCATCATTATTTAATAAATTACAAATAATAATTTCTAGGCCATAGATGAATATTGCACCAGATCTATCCTCTTCTGCAGTACGATAATGTAACCGTTGTAGGGAGAGCTTATGAAATAATATGACTAAAGGGCCAATTCAACTCCAACGGTGTACGGGGAGATGAAGATAACTTAGAGAAATGAAGAAGGTCTTTTATACTTGCTGAAAAGCTAATAGAACAATGCAAAGTTACAAGATGAATGCCTTAATATCAATAGGAGATGATGTATTGATGGGTGATGCCATTAATAGTGATGATCAAGAGTGATATTAAGGTAGTGATGATCTTAAGGGTGATGGTGATTTTAATGATATCTTTTTAAGGATAACACAAAAGCGGACGATGATCAGGTGATATCGGTGATTACTTTTAGTTCACATGATATATTAACAAGAGTAAATTACCAGACGTAGGTGGTGCTCACTACCACAATTCCCGCAAGTCACTAATGTGAATGGCAATATTTGATTCCACAAGGATACTAGAATTTGAGTCTTAATAACCCAAATCGAAGTTACAAGTCAATTCAGTCCGTTGAATTGAGTCTCGAATGGTTTATTAAAGTTACAAGTCGAATTTAACAACAAAGTTTCAAGGGAAAAATTCCGATAAGTATATGCTTTACTATTTTATGGTAATTGAAACTGGACAAGGAACTGTCCTTTCGTTTATTGAATACATGATCTTTATATACATTTTATTTTTCCACCACGTAAACATGGAAATTTCAAGGTTTACACCCAAATTTCAAGGTTTACGTGAAATTTTGAAGGTATACACCGAAAAAAATAACGTAGACATTGAAGATCTCAAGGCACAGTTTTAGTGTAACCACGTATACGCGGATTTTTCGAGGTTTACGTGGTTCATCTGATTCTCATGCATCAAAGCCACTCAACCATCTTCAATTTCCATAATAGAATAAATGATTAAATATTTACAAAGTAATGTTGGTTACTGCTATGAAAATAGAATTGTACTAAAATCTTTACATATTTAGAAATAAATGAAGAAAAAAATGTTATTATATGGAATTACTAATAATTCTATTCGCAACATATGCCTCCTCTTGAGATAAAGCTTCTGCAAAATGGGTAAGCGTTACTATTTCTTTTAATTCAATTTGGGTGACTTTTTGAGCTTCTTGGTCTAATTTGAAAAAATCTTCTTTAAGCATTTGACCAAGTATAGAGGGAGTAATACGCTGCTTAATGAAAAGATAAGAAGGACCATGGGACTTGTAGAGTTGGTAAGTTCATTGGACAATGATTAATAGTTTTGTAGATTTTCCCAGAGCTAACTGTTTGATGAACTTTCGCGCATTTTTACTCCAGGCTTTTTCTTCCATAAGAGATCACAAGTTAAAATAATAAGGTAGTTGGGTCTGGTGGTTAATTTGGCCAGAGGAGATTTTAATGCAAATTGATAATACTTTATCATCCCAAGTATCTCCACAGGGGGCTTCCAAATAATGCATTAAAACCCAACTCGTCGAATGTCTTCAAGGAATTCTGGCATTCGTCGATGTAGTTGTTGAGCATCACTTTCACATTTAGGACTGTTGAAATGAATGACTTGAAACTGGTGATCAGTGAAATAGAGGATGCTGTTAGCAGTTACTAAATATGTTCCTTCAAGTTCGGTCTTCTCCATTTGGTTTTACAGGAGTGCGAAGGTCTTTTGGATATGCGCAGGAGTTTCAGTAAGGGACATGGTGCGTTTTTTTTTTTTTAAAACTATAGCATAAGGAGCGGAGGAAGACCTTTTATATTATGATTTAATCGCTGACATAAGCCCAGGAGGTCTCACCAGGCTTTTGTTGTGGACAATATCATGATAACCGGTTTCTATGGATTCGTTTTCAGAGCATGTGACTGTCCATTATTCGTAATTTATAGACTCAATAGGGTAAAACGTCATGTACATAATAAGGCCCTAAATTTTGGGGTTCCAATTTTGCGCTGTGTGACATAGCTAATTCTTATCAATATAAAAGGACTTAATCACCAATCCCGTATGACTCTAACTTATTTCTCTTATCGTAATACTCCTTATACTTAATTTGCGATTTTTTAACTTTTTGTGTAGCTTGCACGTGTGCGTCTGTTAGGTCACTATAGATTTTCTCCACCCGTCATAATATTAGTGTCTCCAATTCTTCTTTAAGGCTGGACTGAAATTGTGAAGTTACAAGATCAGTCTCAATTGGCAGAGCAGCATTCAGTCCGTATAACAAGAAGAAAGGTTCGTATCCAGTGGTGCTATTCTTTGTTGTACGATAAGCAAAGAAGCAGGTCTTATAAATTTATCTCATTTTTTCTTATATTGATTTACACACTTATTTAGGATGCTGCAAAGAGTTTGATTAAATCGTTCTACCAACCCGTTGGTTTGCGGATGATACAATGTCAACGTAAGGTGAGTCATTTCCATTTTCTCATAAAGGGCAGTAATTAATCAGTTACAAAAATGAGTCTCTTGATTAGACAAAAGTTCTTTAGGACTTCCGTGCTGACAAATCAAGTCTTCAAAAATAAAGTCGGCAACGCTTTTAGCATCTGCTTGTTCTAACACACGAGCCTTAGGCCACTTCGTCAAATATTCTGTGGCTACCACTATATATTGTTGATTGGAAGTTGTTATTGGAAGTGGACCCACTATATCAATCCTGAGCCGTCAAAAGAACAACCTATTTTGATCAGGTAGAGAGGTTCCTTAGTCTGAGGCTTTTTCTTTCTTTGACAAGCGTCGCAGGTTTTAACGTACTCTTTAATTTCGTTGCCCATTTGAGGCCAATAATATCGGGCGGCAATTCTTTGATAGGTGGACTGGAAATTGAAGTGACTAGTGAGAGGATTGTATGCATACTAAAAAGAATGGTGCTGGTTTCACCTTTCCTCAAAACTCTTAATGGACGTATCGGATCATGGCGATTGGTCTTATAGAGAAGATCTTCTATTACTACAAAATGGCGTGATTTGTATTTCAGATCTTTTATCTGCTTGGGAGTGTAGTTGGACAGTACTCTTGCGTCTCTCAAGTATTTAAGGTAAATGGTATAATTTTCTATATCTATCTTTGTTTTTTTTTTTTTTTTTTTTAACTAGGATTTCTCTTTTTTTTTTTTCTCTTCTTTGTTCTATAGGAGCCAGGCATTTCGAAGACTCAATGAAGTATTAAGGTGAGTTAATAATATCACTATGGGATTTTCTGGTATTACATACTTTTCTAACACGGGTTTATTCAATTTAGTAGTTATTATAAAAAGGGGAAATAGATAAGAGTTTAACTTTTATAGGATGTGGATGCCAGGACACCGTAACCTGGACTGGATTAATAGATTTACAGCTAAGTTTTTTTTTTTTTCTCTCTCGTTTATAAAATAATTGTACTAATTAGATTCAGAATTGGGAATTCTGGACAAACTATCAACATTTAGGTGATGTCTTCCTAGTTTATGCACGGTGGTGAAAGAATATTCCATAAGGGTCATAACCCATCGGGCGAGACGATTTTGGGGTAATTTAATGGCAAAAAGAGATTTTAAAGTGGAATGGTCAGTATATAAGATAAACCAACTACCATGAAGATAAGGACTGAAGTAACCAACAGCCCAAACAATGGCAAGACACTCCTTCTCGGTTACAGAGTAATTTTTTTCAGCGGGGGTAAGGCTTCGACTAGCGTAAGTGATAACTCGCTCATGGTAATCATTGTTATTTGCCAAGAATAGCACCCAGGGCCTAATCAGATGTGTCTGTAAAGAGTATAAAGATTTTAAAAAAATTCAGGTAGGCGAGTTTAGGGGCCATAATTAATTTATTCTTTAATGTTTCGAACGCCTTTTGTTGCTTGTTAGTCCATTGATAATTAACCCTTTTTTCAATAGGTAATTTAATGAGGTGGCAATATTAGTAAACCTATAAACAAATTTTCTATAGTAGGAGGCT